CAGTAACAATGCAAAAGAAGAACGAGTCGAATAAAGTTCGGGCAGCGAGCGACACCGAAATTTAGATGATACTGCTGTGCGAGGATGGACAGATCGCAAACCAGGTAGTAAATAGAACCGCTCTGTAACATAAAAGCGAMAAGAATTGCGACGACAAGCTCGGAATACTGCATCAAACCAGGTAGTAAAGAGATATTCTGAAGAGAGATGGCKGAGGAATCATCATCATCATCATCGGCAGGGGAAGCCATTAGGGAAGCGGCACTTTCTGCAGAAAATGCAGTCGAAAAGTGCACTGCTAATGTTGCTATCGAAGTGCCCCCTGCAGCAAATGCAGCTGAAGGAGCACCTGCTGCCRATGTATCGGCAGGAGAAAAAAGAAAWCTAGACGAAGGGGATGGGGAAGATGTGGTCGACACACCATCGACCAGTATTAAAGAGGTGAGSACTGATGACGCCCCCGAGAACAAACCGAAAAAAGCAAAGATCAGTATGCCCCCTCCGGTCTCCTCTTCCCTAACGGACGTAGAAAAATACACCCTTGAATGCCCACCGCCCTCCGACAATACCAACGAGGCAGACGCCAAAACCAAAATCACAACCCCAAATTTGATGCTCTTTGGATTGCATCCTCTCATCCAAGAATTGCCACTACAAAAGTTTCTTGAAGACTATGGGAAGGTCCTAGCGATTACAGTACGCTCTGCATTTGCCTCTCGTTATGGGCATGTTACATTTGAAACGGTGGAAGAAGCCCGAAAATGTTATACATCGATAMACGGCGCCAAACTRCTGCACAAGGCCTTTTTGGTACAGCCGTCCATGGCATCGGCGGCGCCAAAAGCCTCGACCTCGATGGATTCAAAATCTAAGGAAAGCAAAGATACCGAAACTACCGAAGTTAACACTATATCGACCGACTCKGCGGGAGCCGCTGCTGCAACAGCGGCTGCTACTGCCACCGCAACGACTCCCACTTAAAAATTTCTARAAAAACACAAGTTCTGTACATGTAGCATCTGTTTACWACCATTTACTGTAGAGAGTGAAATTAATTGACACGACCTTTTGAATTTTTAATATTTTCAATTGAAGCGCTGGGAACGAAATTCAAGACGAACGACAACACCTRTAGATGAGCACAAAAACAAAATTATWGAACACGACTCCTTGACCAGGAGCTTCGGCAACGCAAAGATAGTTATTAAACGAATRCGAAGCAAGATGCAGTACATATCAAAAGAAAATTTATTATTTTGTCACAATGTGTCTATCTATAATTGTTGTTTTAAGATATCTATTTAATTATACACACGAGATCGATTGATCGATGTTTTCGAATTAAACTATAGTTTAAACATCAAATTTGAATGATTTTGCCATGTCAGGCATGCGAACAAAAGGTGGGTGGGTGGAGTCGTGGGGTGTCAAACTCTTGGCGTAGATGTCTTCCACTACTTCGTTCGCCTCGGGAACGGCCCATTCCTTGGCCTTTTTAACTTCCTTTTGTACTTCTTTTCTGATTCGCTTTTCGGTCTCCTTGATCTCTTCAGCTGTCATAAAGCCAGCTTCCTGCAAGCACGACTTTACGTGCTCGATGGGGTCGCGGTTGGTTCGAGTAAACTCGATCTCTTCGCGGTTTCGGTAGGTGGTTCCTGGATCGGACATCGAGTGACCATGGTACCGATAGGTCATCATTTCTACATACATGGGGCCGTTTCCATTACCGACGTAGTCTTTGGCGAATTTCATGCCCTCAGTGACAGCCAACACATTCATTCCGTCGATTCGCAAACCGGGGATGGCGTTACCCATYTTGTAGTAATCACTGATACTAGAGTGGCGATCGATCGAGGTACCCATACCGTAATGGTTGTTTTCAATGCAAAAGATCATTGGCTGCGACGTGGTGATGGTAATTTTTCGAGTCAAGGTTTTGAAATGAATTTGGTRTTGTTTTTGTTTGTGTGTGRTGTAATGCATCAGATGATTGTTTGGTTTCGAACAGAAGTCCACACATGCAATGAAGCGTTTGAAAAAGATGATGCCATTMAATGATACAAGGAACAGCGATTACAAAAAAGGCCCATATGAGATGCTGGTGGTCGGACCATCTGACACGTGAAGCAAGGACACGTCGAAGTCACACAACAACGGCCTCAATGGCAAGACGATGAAAACCGAATATACTCACGAGATCCCAAAGGTTGCTCATGTTGGCAGCTTCCCAGATTTGTCCTTGGTTGGCAGCACCATCACCATAGCAACCGATGGCAACATTCATGGGYTGACCTGGCTTAGCGTTGTACTTGTGGGCGAAAGCCAATCCTGCTCCGATTGGAACCTGGGCTCCGACGATACCGTGTCCACCGAAGAAGTTGTGCTCTTTGCTGTACATGTGCATGGATCCACCCTTTCCCTTGGTGACACCGTTGGCCTTTCCAAAGAGCTCTCCGACAACACCGGCAACGGAGCCTCCTCTCATGAGCGACAATACGTGGCAACGGTAAGAAGTRACCCAAGAATCCTCCTTGTCGAGGGCCTCTTGGATTCCGGTAGCGACTGCCTCCTGTCCGTCGTACAAATGGCAGAATCCGCGAATGTTTCGCGCCTTGTATTCGTTGTCGCATGTGATCTCCATCCGGCGCATCGTGTACATGGTTTCAAACATGGCAACGAGCTGATCCTTAGAAACCTCGGCGGTTTCAGAAGGTCCGCTTTCAAAATTGTGGATCTGAGAGTCCCCAGTGCCAAACATTTGTCGCATTCCGAAAAGCAATACAAAGCAGTTTCATTAAAATTTAGTTCAATTCAGTTGTTTCGTTTTTCCAATCCGAATACACGGGCACATCAATGACAGAATCGTGATTTACAAATRAAAAAAGAGGCGTGAGTGGACGAAACTGAAAGGCAGAGATACCAAGTGCCGTATCCCAATCAAATGCCGTCGACAGGCCCAAAATTTGTGACCGACGCTGCAAAACATTGGTTTCSGATGAAGCGACTTYTATAAAAAATGAACTARAATCGCAACTCTGGCTGCATTCGTGAGAGTCCCAATCGCTCTCACCTCGAAGGATCCGGTAATGTCAAAAGTGTGCGAGGTGGACATGGCACGTCGTGATGCCGATCGCACCATTGTCGGTTTGGAGACCACTCGTCGAAGGATGGTGTTGCTTCTGGAAGAAAACATTGTTGTATGTAGGTGATATAATAACTGTCGGGGAATAACTTCTACTACAATAAATTTCTAGATTGATCAGTATGTTGAGAWGTTMGTATTACACAACAAACGGATGCCGTGATCAGTTGGGATTAGACAAGGACGACGACGACCACGGTACGGTACGTTTACTGCATTTGCATTCTTTTTCTTTCCAGCTGGTGTTTCACGCTTGGCTGTTACGTTGCTTCCCGTAGTTTTCTCAGTTTAACTTCCTTCCCATCCTTTCGTTCCCAACAAATCGATCCATATCGGCCAATGAGCCATCAGCATTTGTCCTTCTCCGTTTGACTCGATGGATCAGGAGACTCTACTTCTTCCTCCGTTCGGTGTTGCGGGAAGAATGCATTGATAATTGATATGTACGATATGATATA